TCTAATTGAGTTACATACGTGTGAAAGGCTACTGTATTAAAATACCATTTCAATAACACTTCATAGAATAATTTATACCTAATAATAGCAATTTTAAAGGTATTTGTTATGGAATAATACTTTGCTAATACATACCGTCGAATGAAATAGGTATGATAATTTTAAATATTTTACAAATATCCTCGTTTGAAATATTACAGTCAAATTAAAAGGCCAAGGCTACGATATGAGCCATTAAAATAAAGAATGAGGATAAAACAACTCCCACAAATCATTGTTTAAAGTATTTTTAGAATATACGCTAAAGTGGAGATGAGCCTTTGTCAAACTTACGTAAAGAGCTTCCTCTAGGGAAATGACAATAAGATAACTGGCAAGTGATTTATGGCAGTTCCTATACGAAGTCCTGGCGATGGTTATCAATGGTGGGCTAAGAGAGAAGCTAATGTCCAGCAGTGGACAGAAAACGAGTAAAGATGATGGTGACGCGAGTACATTCGCCAACACTAAAATAAAAGAACAGCGGGACGCCTTTAAGAAAATTAGAACAAAACTATTTCAAACACCAGATGTGTTCTGGGAATCATTGCTAAACTAATAATTGATATATTAATGCATAACGCAACCCACAATTTCATTACCGAAGATAAAAATATTATTGCTTGAATGTTACTTAAGAACAAAGGTTTCAAATAGAGTTCTTCCAATTAATAATGGTGTAAAAAGAGATAAACAAAACTAGGCACATATTTTAAGAGGTACTAATGCTGCTCTGCTTTATACAATTATCATTAACGTATACTCGTAGATAAAAAAGACTGAATTAGTGCCAACCATCAAACACAGCCTCAACACATACAGAGACAATTTTCAAAGTTCAAATGAGTACAAACAGCAGCCGCGATCGCGGTCGGGGAATACATAATATCGATTCCTTCAAACGACAATTATGTACCGACGACATCCGGGATGCCCTAACCGTATGCTGTTCACATTTAAATGAGGCTGGCCGATATGCTCTAACAATATCTATAGAGGATTTTAGATCACAAGACTTAATGGTGGAAGAAAGAAAAAATATAAGTTTTTTAGCACAGAGACTAGGCTACTACTTTTTACTACTGAGATTGTAACAAGATTGGTTTATCCTAACGAGTAGCGATATAATTTCTTATTCTTTCTTCTTCATATCAATCCACATTTTGGAACGAGACTTTCTGACACTTACGAGGCACATGACCTGATCACTGACAGACAGGCTGATTCCAATTCAATTTTGTCCTTACCAAAGTGTTTTTGTTGGATTCATTGAAATAAATGCTTTGATTTTGACATCAAAGTAAAAAATCAATTCCTACTATTTGCGAATCCCGGAAAATCACATACACATGCATTTTAAAAGACTAGTAGACCAAAGTTGGGGACAAAATAGCTTCATATTCTTAGCTTAACTTCATGTTAACACAAAACAATTTATTCCGTACATAACGCACAAGTACTTCAGGTACATGTTAAGCGGTGCTAGAACAACGGTCAACGAAGTCACCATGAATACTAATTGGTTTACCGTCACTAGTTCCAACATAAACATCAACCAATACATGTTTAAGCGCTTAAGCTGCTTTTTGGAGTTTAAAATAACGTTAGACAGTATTTATCGGTTATTAAAGTACGTTATTAATGGCATTATTGAATACGTGTATTAATTTTAGAATGGAGGAAGATATTAGGAATAATACTTGAGAACGGTATATGGAAAATGATTTAATGACTGGCTCTAAAAAAATACACTAATCATGTCATTATAATTGGCATACAGGTGTTAAACCAAGTTCTCTTCTAACACTGAAAAGGATTTAGAACCACGCTTGCTAAAACTGGATTGTCAATTTCAAAGTTATGATTAAAATTATAAGTTCAGATTTCCTCACCTTGTTTTCGTGCACCTTTTGTCTATGGTGTCTAGGTAATCTTAGAAAGAAAATATAATTCTGAATAAGTGATATTAGCGACTTAACCTAACTACACTCGTTGATTAAAAATTAATAATAAAAATGCAAATTGTTACATACAGCATAATCCAGGAACAGCGAGAGAAGAGATAATTTTTAGGTTAATCACAATGTGACTTTGTTTAAGAAGACACATCGATAAAAAAACATAGTCTGAAGACTGCGAAGCAACAATAGAGATTCTAACCATATCTGCATGACAATTACAATGACAATTATTTTATCAAATAAGCTCATTTCATCTTAGCTCTAGTAAAAGTGGGCGCGTTCAAACCGAATAAAATGGAACGTATTAACAGATAAACAATTCATAGGCGATACAACATACAAAGAACACGTCGTTATTTATGCAGTACATTTGAATTATAAATGTCACCGTTTTATTGGTGACATCGATTCATTAGGTGTTGATTTGTCAAAATAAACAAGTCGTATATTTGGATAAAATAATTCGAGCATGATGAACCGACACGACCGAACTAGCCAAAGGCCTGAATAAATGGTTGACATATAATACTTAGGTCATATTTACCCACAGAACCTGTATTTTCTATTCCGCGTATTTACCAACATTTCATTTTTAATGGCCTAACTACATACTTTAACATCTTTATGTTAATTTTAAACATTCGTCGAAAAGCGTGACGTTATCCAAATTATTTCCCCCTTTGCAAAGAGAACAGAAATTACCTGACATAAAATTATTTCTAGGGAAACCACTTACATTCGTTTTTATTCGGAATATCCTATGAGTAGGCGTAATAAGTATATTTTTTAATTCTTGATACTTTTAGGTGTGGGGCAAGGCGAGGCAACGATGATTCATTTAACCTTACTAACAAAGAGACCTAATTTAAATTCATTTGATGCCAACTTGTTAATTAATTAGTATAATAACAATGAAAGTTGTTGTTTACGAATTCTCAGTCTGCAATTATAGTAGCAACGGACTTGAAGAATTGTGTTGTGATTGTAACCAATACAGTTACGTTAAAATATTAATTACTATTAAAATCGTTATTAAGAAATGTGAATATTATATTTGCAATACCAGTACTAGTGGAACACCTTTATCTGCGAATAAGTTATCATCTTTAAGTGACGAAACAATTTTGTTCAATACAGAAATTATTTTTTCGGAGCTGATGTTTACAGTCCAAAAAATCCATAATACAGTAAATCCATTCTAGAGAACTATGCTTTTATTAGAAATAACACTACAACAGCTAACTATAACTATGGAACAGAATAAGCTAACAAAGTGACTATCTCAACATGACCAAACAACCTCAAAAATCTAGTCAAACACGAAGAGGTTAGTTTCTATGGAACGTTAGACAAACAGACGGCACTTTGCACGACATACTACTAAGGTCGGTTATAATAGTTAACTAAACAAGCGTGAATATGTTCTGTACACATTCGTATCGATTAAATGTTCACCTCGTTGATATGACGTGATATGTTAAGCCGGGGATTGTGTGATCTAGACATGAAATAATAGTAATGTTTGTGAAGAAGTTTTTATAAACTGACGTCTTCTTAGACAGCTAAGGCACGACATTTTAAGGAAAGACAAGACAGAGGTGTAAAAACGTGAAAAGGTATACGCCAATGATGCTAGAAATCAAGCCCAAAGACTATTAGACCTATGAGAATGCTTATAAATCTTGTTGCTAGTTGCTGCTTCCAGAAAATATTACGACCTTCAACGGAATATTTAATCTAGAAAGCTAGTAAACGTCGTCTACAAAAGTGAACTGAATAATTAAAAAGGCAGAAAAGAAATCTGACGAACATAAAACAGACTTAACGTATAAGAAGTCTCAAAAAGTCGTTCCTCAAAAAGACTAACAATTCTCGTAACGTCTCTTGAGAATATGAACAAAGGTGCTTTTGGTAAAGGAGCTCCAAAAACCTATTTAGTCAAATATTCCCAATAGCCTGTTTACTGTTATGACACGAGAAAATTTCCTGCGTATAACTATACAGGCGCAAATATTCTGATGTATTCATGAAAGTTTGATCTAAGCGCGTAAGTACACTTGAAGTTGGGTCGGGAGTGAATTTAATTTAATTCATGGTAGAAAGCCGTTCGATTCAGGTTCCTAGACATGAGAGTACATCTTAAGACCACTAAAGGCTAGCTCTAAGAGCCAGTATAGGAGTATGAAGGGATGGATGGATAAGATAAACTGCTAATAAAATAATTTGCTAAATTCGTTGATTGGTACAAATATGAATTGGGACTGTGTAATTTTTTTTGCCTAACTCTCAATTGGAATCCATGCATTTGGATGTTAACAGAGACCTTTAACTTGCAATCAATTCTTTAGAACTAAAATCATCAAAAAAGAGGTATTAACACAAGGTCATATTCAAGTTTGGAACGCGAGATATCGAATTACTCGAATAGTATCATTTTACATGAAACGAAAACCGATTGAGAATCGAGTCTTGAGTTAGGGTTACTTTCTCGAATACGAATCTGCATTTTTAACGCTCTTTTAGAGAGGTTTCGGCTTAAGAGTAGAATACGGAAACGGAGCAGCCAGGTAGAAACCTTTTCCCCTTGTTTTAGCGAACAATATTTCGTCCTCACCAGTTTAGAATTGAAATTATTATTTTATTTACATCTTAGTCTTTGAACCATGACTTATTAAAGAAATATAGCAGTATCGGCTTCGATTTATCTAGAATCAATTTGATTACGGTCCCGTGTCACAGTAAAATTGTCAGCTTTGATGTTGTAAAATAAAATGAGTCATCTGTTTCTGATAAAATCAAAACCTGTTTGAGGTTGTATTGATCTCATATTGGCAATGAACTTGGTTGCTAAGACGTTAATAATAATCTTGTTCAAACAGAGATTCTCGTTCATCGGAATTCTGATCGGATTTGTGTTTTAAATCCCTCGTGTGTTTTAATGGATTACTATATCGAATAGCAAATCCAAGATACAGAAATATACTTTGTAGTATTACTTACATCAACAAGATACCGCCAACTCACAGGAACCATTCCACACTGTTGGATCACTTCAACAATCCTACCACACTGTCGCTTATCTAACAGCACGCACACATAACCTGTAACAATGGACAAACTATGTTAAACAATTGAACAACACGTGGTAAATACATTCCAAGCGGTGTTGAATACTAACACCCTATTTGACAAATGTCAGTCAACTTGGAAATACGTTGTGCATATCTTCTTTACGCAAGAAGTTTTTTTATGTGATAGGGCAAACGAGGAGTCGGATTAACTGATGGTAAGCAAGTCGGTGCCGCCCGAGGCCACCCGCAATACCAGAAGAGTTACCGTACGAATACAAGTACGTTATCAGACTTTTGTATATTTGGAATTCGGCAATTTTAAGACTGGGTGGCATGATGATGACGGTAACGATGTGATTTATAGACAGTAAGAATCTGATACTTCCTCTTGCCCCACCTAGAGAGGGAAAAGCCTTTTGTTGTTGTAGTTGTTGATGACCCCTCTTAATAAAAAATCCTAACCGTCAAATGTATTACATAGCGGTTGTGCTAATAACCATTATCAGTTTGAATAATAATTATTATCAGACTGTAACGATTGAATCACAATTATAGACACTTATATCTAAGCTTAATATAAAGTAATTGGTATTCTTGGCAATAAGACTTATATACGGAAATTATAAAAAAAACAGTACGCAATACTAGAAAGAAATCAAAAATAGAAATTCATTAAAAACAAAATAAAAAAAAGAGAAGAAAATCATTACTCAAGGCAATCACCGTGAGTTGAAAGCAATCACGGTGTATCAACAAATTTAAGGAACCTTGTTTCGAAGAATCATCCGACAGAAATGAGGAAAGAGAAATATAACATTTCTGAGAAATTATTGTAAGGTCACCTTCCCTCTTTGGATCTAAATTAAAAACGTTGAGCATGACTCAGCTTCTTGTGCCTGACTTAGTAGGCACTTTAGAAAATACTCCACGAGAATTAAGGCATTTGAGTCCAAGGAGCTACCACAAAGGCAAGATGAAAGCTAAGTTTTAAAGGATAAAGTATTGAGAAAGGCAAAGGTAATCAAATTAGAAGAATACATCCATAACTTAATAGTAAAAAGAGAATTTTAACCAAGGAGTAATCAGGAGAACACAGAACCTGTTTGGCACGTAACCAAAATGAATAATATTAAAAAATAAATGCACTGGATAGAGAAACTACGAATGTTTAATTTTTCAATCAATCCGTTTCGGCGTTTCATACGATTTGCGCGTTATTTAAGTTACTAACGTAAAACCTAAAATTCTATGTAAACATCCAATTAAATAAACCATTAAGAACACAAATATAATAGCAACACCAAAATTTTATTTCGTTTCTCTTAATAATATGATTATAAAGGGTAAAAGCAAAGCCAAAACGTTGAACACCCGTTTTGAACTTTCAATAGCTGTGATTAAGTTTAGTTTACAGAAGCAAGTGGTCTATTCAGTTTACTTTCACTGGCCTCGGGCAAGCATTGAGATCCACACCTTAAACGCCAGCCAAGAGACGCAAATAATTCCAATTTTGAAATTGTATTTCAAATATTTCCTTTTTGATTACATTTAAAACTACAGTCGTATTTTGTTTTGTTTTGTACCCACGTCATATTAAAATGTTATTACCCATTTACTGAACTCACTTTCATTAGATTGCAAAGGTTATTTCGTATTAAAATCAAATTGTCACGTATTATTTATAGCGATTTGCACTCGTTTTTTGATGTCATTTCGTAATCGTCACTGTAAGTACCGTGACATCGTTATCTCAGGCAAATTTCAAGAATGCCACTGACTGATTCGATAATAACTAATCTTACTACATAGGAAGGTCGTTTTAATACTAATTACTAATTATCTCCACACGTGTTCTAGCACCTGTCACCAAATTCAATCATGGAAACCATACGAGGAATAGTCACTATACTTTAAATGACATAAATATGATTTTTCATATACAACTTGACGACGACCCTAGTGATCTGTAAAAGTTCTTTAAAAGATTTTGGACATTATTACAATAGAGGTAAAGCTGGTTTTTTTAAGTAAGTAGACAGATTGGAGTACGATGATGTGCTGTCGTGTGCACAATACTTGACAACAGTGAAGTAAATTACAAATTAAACCTTGGACTGCCTTTCCGCATACCAAAAGGCTTAGAACAGAGGACAGTCACTAGTTGCGATTATGACGTATCTATTCGGTTGTTGCTAGATCTATTATGTATGAATGAATGTTTTCTTGCTAATGCCCAGCTGTGTTTTATCTAATACTAGACTATCAGATCTACAACAAATACGTGTGAGTAATCCGATAACAAGAGTTTAGGTTTTTATGGCAATGACGTGACTATTTTAAGTGGTCATTTTCACTTCTTATTATTAACGGGTCTATGGATTAAAATATACGCGATATATTCAAAGTGAAGTTAACTTGAGTTTAATTGCCGTAAGTTGAATAAAACCTTATTTGCCACACTTCTAAAACGATAAAAAACTTTCTTTAAAAATTATTACGGTTGGCAATGACAAAGTAAGCATAAAAACTCCATGAAACCTTCCACTAGCAGTTTGAACGAATCAATAATTTATTTTCGTACAAAATTATGTGTCGCGTGTATTAGGCCATTTAAGGGCGAAGGCGACACCTAGTCTAAATAAAAACATTTCCCACGTTCCATGATGTCATGTCAACGACCTTAAAAAAATATATATGATGGTATTTATATGATTTACTATTCTATGTCACTAATTTTACGGTTCAACTTTAAATAGGTACTTTTACATTTGTTGGTAAGTTGAACATTTTTCAACTGTGAATGACTGCAATACTATTTCATGATTATTGTTAGACTAACTACTCTAACGCGGTTTCACCCGCTGCTCGGCTCCATTTAATACTAGCGTGATGTTGTGTTTGTAGCTAAATATCAGTGAAAGAATTTTGGCAATCCGACCCGCAGTTCCAAAGATTACCCCCTATATACAAACTTACAAACATACAAACTTACAAATTTTGCCTCTTTATGATATTAGTATAGACAAGAAACTAGGTACGTACTGTCGGATTCTAGGTATAGGTTATCATTTTTACAGATTAGGTAACAGCTGTTGTCTATCAAACACACCTGTCCGATTGTTTACAATACCTACATACTTAAGATAATTTCGTAAATAAATACCTAATTATGAGTCAATAAAGTCCAAGAATAGGGAAGAGCAAATAAATGTTGCAAACTTGTTATTTGAATAACCACCTCTAAGGCCCAGTATTAAATTTCATTTTAACGTAAAATATTAAGACGAACAAAAAATAATATTATCATAAATCACATGTTTTTATGCTATTATGTTTGAACCAGTGAACTGTAAAATTGAAGCCTTTTCAACTTTATGGTCACGTAGCTAAGGATCATAATTTGCTTTAGACATAGTATTTTATTCAGTAAGCGTTCTTCGTGCATTTTTCAGAACATGCTGTGCGATAATAGTTCTTATTCCCTTTACGTTATCCAACTACCTGGCATATTGGATTTTATACTGAGTTCAGAATCAATGAAAGTAGTAGCATTATATCGTTTAAACTAAACCACTTAGAAAACATTGACATTCAAACAATCAGTCCAACCGTTCATATATTATGAATAGAATAAGCAAGTAAGTAACGAATAAATTATCATTAAAAAAGATGCCAAAACTCCTTCAAAATGGTCAAAAGATGAAAAATGTAAACTTTGAACCATTCAATCAATGGTTATAAGGCAGTATAGTCGAAAACATTAAATTGGAGACTCTGTTGCCATTCAAGAAAGAAAAAAAAATGGTTATAATCTACGACAAAAACTAGTCATAAAGATTACATCGATAAACACTTTTACGAAACCGACGATCAAACAAAAACTTCTTCATGATCATCGGTACCTAATGACAGTTTACGTGTTAAAGGTTGAATACAACATAATATATAAACATTACTACTTCTGCGCCATGAAATCATACACCACACCGATGCAAATAACTGAGCTACTGCATTTTCTGTAATATCTAATGAGGTGTGTCAACGCTTTTGGAATGTTAAATAAACAGATTCCTATATGTATTCAATGCTAAAGACTAAAAAATACCTAAATGCTAAATGCCTGATAAAAAATGCTATTTTACACATACAGACCTATTATCATCAAAAAAAATATGTGTCCAAAAACAAAATTCCTCGATTTAGGTATACAGCAAAAAACACACCATTTGAAAATCACAATAAATCAAAAACACAGAATCACTACACAAAACTGGCACATTCCATCGTGTATTCGACCCCTCCACATCACTAGTCTGTGAGCGCGGTAATCTGCGCGAGAGCACGCAAGCTTCCGTCCGTAACGCACACCCACCACAAGTCAACTGAGCAATGTACGAGCGAGAGAGGTAGCGATTGTAATGATCCAATCGACGGACAGGCGGAATGTTGATATTCGATAATACTATTGAACTGGATACCGGATAGGATAATCGAGAAAAACTCTCGACGAGAATCGAATTCGGATTTTAAATGTTTTTGTTGTATTTGAACGTCAAAGGTATAATTGCATTTTGGACATTAATGATTCGAAAAGTTATTCCGAATGGCAATAAATGTTATAGGTACCAAAAAACAGCCTTTATGGGAAGTCTTTTAAAAATATGGCAATGTCACTGAATTAAAATAATATTGAGAATTCTGCTAAGCAATTATCACCACTCGGAAATGGGCGATAAAAGACGACTGAGTGAAACGCCCCTTTTCGAATACGTAGACACAACATGGTTTTCAACAACAAAGTAAAAGTGAGGATGATATTTCCTGTGTATATATTTATTGAATTCGTCAGGAGCTACTAAACGCTTGTTACTTGCAACGGATTCCACGTATCAGTTGCCATCCGCCGCAGCCATGCCGCTGCGCATGAGTAACGAGGTCCCGCCACACTGTACACTAGGATAGAAGGTCCAACATAAGCTGGAGCCCATTCACGCAATTTCCACCTCTAATATCTTAAATTTAAGTATAAA